AGATAGAAAGCCAAAAGGGAAGAACATGCTCAGCATTTCTCAAACTGAAAGAACTGAAGAAAAAATTCAAGCCTCGAGTTGCAATATTGAAGGATTCTACAGGGAAAATACCAAACGATGCAGGAAACATCAAAAAAAGATGGAAGGAATACACAGAGTCACTGTACCAAAAAGAACTGGTCGACATTCAACCATTTCAGGAAGCATCATATGATTAAGAACTGACGGTACGGAAGGAAGAGGTCCAAGCTGCACTGAAAGCATTGGTGAAAAACAAGGCTTCGGGAATTGATGGAATACCAACTGAGATGTTTCAACAAACGGATGCAGCACTGGAAGTGCTCACTCGTCTATGCCAAGAAATTTGGAAGACAGCTACCTGGCCAACCAACTGGAAGAGATCCATATTTGCGCCCATTCCAAAGAAAGGTGATGCAGCAGAATGTAGAAATTATTCAACAGTATCATTAATATCACACACAAGAAAAATTTTGCTGAAGATCATTCAAAAGCAGCTGCAGCAGTACATTGATAGGGAACTGCCAGAAAATCAAGCCAGATTCAGAACAGGACGGATCATGGCTGAAAGCAGAGAATACCAGAAAGATGTTTACCTGTGTTTTATTGACTATGCAAAAACATTCAACTGTGTGGATCATAACAAATTATGGATAACATTGCAAAGAATGGGAATTTCAGAACACTTAATTGTGCTCATGAGGAACCTGTACTTAGACCAAGAGGCAGTCGTTCAAACAGAACAAGGGAATATACTGCGTGGTTTAAAGTCAGGAAAGGTGTGCGTCAGGGTTGTATCTTTTCACCATACTTATTCAATCTGTATGCTGAGCAAATAATCTGAGAAGCTGGACTGTATAAACAAGAATGCGGCATCAGGATTGGAGAAAGACTAATTAACAACCTGCAATATGAAGATGACACAACCTTGATTGCTGAAAATGAAGAGGACTTGAAGCACTTACTGATGAAGATCAAAGCCCACAGCCTTCAGTGTGGATTACAGATCAACTTGGAGAAACAAAAATCCTCACAACTGGACCAATAAGCAACATCATGCTAAACGGAGAAAATATTGAAGTTGCCAAGGATTTCATTTTACTTGGATCCACAAGCAACGCCCACAGAAGCAACAGTCAAGAAATCAGACAACGCATTGCGTTGGGCAAATTTGCTGCAAAAGATCTCTTTAAATGTTAAAAAGCAAAGATGTCACTTTAAGGACTAAGATGCACCTAATCTAAGCCATGGTGTTTTCAATTCATATGAATATGAAAGCTGGACAATGAGTAAGGAAGACAGAAGAAGAATTGATCCCTTTATACTATGGTGTTGGAGAAGAATATTGACGGTACCATGGACTACCAGAAGAACAAACATCTGTCTTGGAAGAAGTACAGCCAGAATGCTCATTAGAAGCGAGGATGGCAAGACTTCGTCTCACATACTTTGAACCTGTTATCAGGAGGGACCAGTCCCTGGAGAAGGACATCATGCTTGGTAGAGTAGAGGGTCAGCAAAAAAGAGGAAGACCCTCAAGGAGGTGGATTGACACAGTGGCTGCAACAATGGGCTCAAGCATAACAAGGATTGTGAGGATGGCACAGGACTGGGCAGTGTTCCTTTTTTTTTTTTAACTTTATTCTTTTTTTTTCTATTTTATTGTTGTACTTTAAGTGTAAATTTACAATTCAAGTTAGTCTCTCATACAAAAATGTATACATACATTGTTATGTGACCCTAGTTGCTCTCCCTATACAGTGACAGCACACTTCTCCTTTCCACCCCAGAGATTTCCCTTGTCCATTCAACTAGCTCCTGATCCACTGGGCGTATTTCAGTCTGTTGTACATAGGGTTGCTATGAGTCGGAACCGACTTGATGGCACCTAACAACAACAACAAGTAAATAGATGTGGCCAGCACTAATCTCACAGTCTCAACTCAAGTGCGCAACTTTCTGTATTCTTTCTATAAACTCCCTTCCGTCGAGTTGATTCAGACCCATAGCAACCCTATAGGGCAGAGTAGAACTGCCCCATAGAGTTTCTAAGGAGTGGCTGATGGATTCAAACTGCTGACCAAAAGGTCAGCTCTTAACCATTGCACGACCAGGGCTCCATTCTTTCTGTAATTGAACTTAATTTCTATCTTCAGACCCCAATGGTCTTCTGCAGAAAATATATCCTGGTAATTTCCAAGTAAATTCTGTCAAATGCAGCACTTTCTCAGTATTATTAGGCTTAAAACTTTGTGAAGTGAGAATGGTTACAAAAACACTTCCACAGCACTGATGAGCAGGACAGTCTTATGCCAGCAACTCATCCCATCTGCTGTATGAGAGCGTGTTCTCCATGCCAGCAATCTAACGAGACATAGCCTGACCATTGTCAGTTCTCAGAGAGACTGTCCAAGGCAGCCCACCCACTCTCTCTAACCCAGGTCGGCGGTGCTAATATAGGATTTTAGGTGGCTTTCCTATCTTAGTTTCCTAAGGCTGCTGTAACAAGGCACCCCAAACTGGATGGCTTATAAGAACAGAAATTTATTGACTCGCAATTGTGGAAGCTAGAAGTCCAAATTAGGGTATCGGCAGTGTTGAATCTGACTGAGGGCACTGAGAGTGAATCGGTTCCATGCCTGACTCCTAGCTTCTAGTGACTCCCAGTAACCTTTAATGTTCCTTGGCTTGCAACTGCAAGCCTTCCTCTGTCTCTCTGTCTCTGTGTATCTTCTCTTTTATAAGGACACCAGTCATATAGGATCAGGACCCACCCTACTCCAGTATGACCTCATGTTAATCTAACTAAAATAAAATCTTTAAAGACCTTATTTCCAAGCACAGTCACATTCATAGGTACGTGGGATGGGACTGCTTGGGGGTAGAAGGACATGACTCAACCTATAACACTTCCCATATCCATCAGGGACTGCAAGAAATGCTGAGATGGTCTCTGGGCGTCTCGTGCCCTGAGCACCACACTGCAATTGCTACTTCATCTACCATGGTGTCTGTGCCGTGGTGGTACAGGGACGTCCCAGTGAGACCTGCCATCTCCCCAGGCCTCGCCTGAGCGTGTTCTCTGCTCTGAGGTCCTCAAACCTACCTGCTCGTGCCCCCCCCCCACCTTGGGACCGGGTACAAGGGAGCAGGTTCAGGGGCCTCATTCTCACGTTTCTTTTGTTTCCTTTCCCAGCTTCCTTCTCGTCACCAGATAAGAAAACGTTTTATTCTGACTGGAATAAAGAAAACTGATTTGGCCTAATCATGAAAGGTCCTAAATCTATCATTTAACCTTATCCTTTGAGTTTAAGGAAACCCTGGTGGCATAGTGGTTAAGAGCTATGGTTGCCAACAAAAAGGTCAGCAGTTCAAATCCACCAGGTGCTCCTTGGAAACCCTATGGGGCAGTTTTATTCCACTGCAACAGGTTTGGTTTTTTGGTTTTGGTTCTTTGAGTTTAAAAGTTGTTGGGTTTTTTTTGCATTTGTTATCAGGCCTTATTGTGACAGCTCTCCCTTGGAACAATGGGGCTGCAAGACTTGAAGTCTGAATGGTAGAGAAGAAAACAACTATTGTCCCATCACACAATTCCAAAATACTGTGATAAGAGCCAGGCTAGAAATATGTATGGAGTCCCTGGGTGGTGCAAACGGTTAAGTGCTCACTGCTAATAGAAAGGTTGGAGGTTTGAGTCCACCCAGAGGCCTTTGGAAGAAAGGCCTAGTGATCTACTTCTGAAAAATCAGCCACTGAAAACGCTATGGAGCACAACTCTACTTTGACACACGTGGGGTTGCTATGAGTGGGAATGGACTAAACTGGCAACTGGTTAAAAAAAGAAATATGCACAGGATACTAGTTGAGGGCTGGTGGGGGGGGTGGGCAGGGAGCAGATAAGAAAAATCAAACACAGATTAGGGGGATGGGGAAAGAGAAGTAAAGAAGTTTTCTGAAGAAAGTGATGGCTAAGTTGAGTCAGCTAGGATGAGTAAAGTGGGGAAGTTACTGATTTCAGGCAGAGAAATTAAGACGTACAAATATCCAAAAGCAAGGGTATAATCTCTATTGTGAGCATTGAAAAATCAGATGGACCTCAGTGTGTAAGGGAGAGAGAGACTCCAGGTGAGGCTTACTTTAAAGGTCCGTGGGAGCCACATGGTGAAGCCCTTTGTGCGCCATGCTGAGGAATTTGTCATTGGGAGGTTTAGACGGGAAGTGATATGACCATAATATAAAAATTTCTGTTTGTTTCTCTCATCTTGGATCAAGGCTGTGCCAAACTCAAACGTATATCTCCGCGCCCAGCACAACGGCTGATACAATAAGTAATCAAGTATTTATTCATTAAAGAAAAGAAGGTGGGAAGGAGGAAGGAAGGAGAGAAAGAAGCATATAAGAAGACAATTCCACAATGGTTCGTTTGACAGCATTTACTAAGCATCGGCTATGGTAAGTGCCTGTGATGTGCAGAGGGAACTACAAGAATAAACTAGCATCCCTGCGTGCTCAGAACGTTCACTTATTAGTGTCAGTAATTCTGAGACGACAGTTGCGTTTTCCCGGGTGTCTCTTTTCTCTTGAGGAATCCTGGAGGTGCAGTGGTTAAAGCTCTGGCTGCTAACTGAAAGGTCGGCAGTTCAAATCCACCAGCTGCTCCAAGGGAGAAAGATGTGGCAGTCTGCTTCCGTAAGATTACAGCCTTGGAAATCCTATTGGGCAGTTCTACTCTGTCCTATAGGGTCGCTATGAGTGGGAACCGACTGGGCGGCAACAGGTTTGATTTTGGTTTGGTTTCTTTTTTCTCACACCTGTTCCCTATCTCTGGAGTTCCTTCCTACTCCACTTCTTCCTTTCCTTCGCCACCCTCTCCGAATGTTCCGCCGTCCGGGGTTTCCCGCGCTCCCGCCAGCCGGCCGCTGGGAAAAGATAAGTGCGTGGGAGCGCTTCCGCAGCGGCAGACATGCGCAAAGGGGGCGGTGCACTGCGCATGCGAGAACATGGCGGGGCTGACGTCGTGAATAGTAGTAGGGTCACCTTCCTTTCCCCCCCCTTCTGTGTTAGCAACGCTCAAGTTCGTGGGGGTAGTGACACTTTTGTTTGCAGGGCGGCCTAGACAGGCGGCGCCTCCTAGGAGTCCCAAGATCTGGTTCGCGCTTAGCCCCGGGCAACCCGCGTGTTGGAGGCGGTGCTCGACCAGAGCGGGAGAAGGCGGGAGAGTGCGCCGGGTGCGAGGGGCGAATGGCTGCTCGGCTCGGCAGCATGAGTCAGCAGCGGCCAGCGAGGAAATTGCCCAGCCTCCTCGTGAACCCAGCGGAGGAGACCGTTCGCCGCCGTTGCAGAGACCCCATCAACGTGGAGGGCCTGTTGGTAAGCTGCGGACAGTCTTCTCTTCTGAGCCACCCATGGCCGTGGGGCGGAGGGTCTCGGGCACCGAGCCCTTTTGGGAGGAGAGCCGGATTGACCGTCGTCTGTATTGTGAGCTCCCTCAGCGCTGGGACCGCGGCTCCTCCTGGGTCTCCCCAGCTCTCCCACTGCCCATCACGAATTATGAACCAGACTGGCCTGTGTGCTCTTAAATGTTCCGTCAGCTTTCTTGGCTCTTATCTTGGGGGTCCAGTGCACTTTTAAAGAAAACTGCTCAGCGTCGCACTATAAATGCATGTTTGTCTATCTCAATTGGTCCCTCAGTACATCTCAGCAACCTACCAGTTGTTTTTCTCTTGAGCTGCTGCTCCCGTTCTCACACTTAAATGCAGACATTTAAATTCTCGTCCACACCACACATTTCCCACCCTACAACTCTCCATTCAGTAAATTAGCTTCTGTCCTGTTTTATAGAGAAAGTGGAAGGGAGGTTTGGCTCCCTCCCTGCAGAAGGCTTATTTCGTCTATTGTTCTAGACTGGAAGTTCTGTTCCCTGGGGTTCTCAGGGCCCATGATGGACCTACCCATCGTTTTCTATTTCGGTTCATATTTTCAACTTCTTTGCATACTTCTTTCCATAACTTGTGATAGCTAAACAGTTACTGAACAGTCATATGCCCAGTTTTCATGCCAAATGGTTTATGAACATTATCTTATTTAATCCCTCATGGCAATCCTAAGAGATAGGCACTGTTATGGTATTATTTATGTTATTTTTGTAGTGGTGTCGATGTGTGCTGTGCAGTCAGTTCAGACTCATAGCCGACCCTATAGGGCAGAGTAGAACTGCCCCGTAGGGTTTCCCTAGCTGTAATCTTTATGGAAGCAGATCACCAGGTCTTTTCTTCCACAGAGCCAACGGGTAGATTCTAACAGCCAACATTTCGGTTAGCAGCTGAGCTCTTAAACATTGTTTGCAACCAAACCCATTTCCATCTAGTTGATTCCGACTCATAGCGACCCTATAGGACAGAGTAGAACTACTCTGTAGGGTTTCCAAGGAGCGGCTGGTGGATTGGAACTGCCGACCTTTTGGTTAGCAGCTGAGCTCTTAACTGCTGTGCCACCAGGGCTCCTTATTCTTGTTTTACAGTTGCCAAAGCAGATTTGGAGATGTTAGGTGACCTGCCTCTGGTTAGATAGCTAATAAGTAGTGATTTAATCTCAGAATGTCTGACTCCAGATGAAAAATTCCTGACTGCTTAACTGATCCTTGTCTTAAAAGATCCCTCCCTTAGTTTTATATCCCCTTCCGTCTGCTGTATCTCTTCCCCTTCACAAGCTTCTTAAAGTAGTTGTTTGCACTCACTTTGTCCATTTCCTCACCTCTCATTAACACTTGAACCCACTGCTACAGGACTTCTGCCCTAACCACACCTCCAAATGGTTTGAACCAAGCTCATCATCAATCTTGTTAATTCCAGTAGACATTTCACTCCTTATCTCCCGTAACTTCCACACAATTGACTGTTCACGCTTTTTCAAAACTCTCCACTTAGCTTCTGTGACACCACATATTTTTGGTGCTCCATCTACTTATCTGGCCTCTTTTTGTGCTCTTTGTAAACTCTTCTTCCTCTTCCCATTCTTTAAATATTAGTGTTATTTAGGGCTTTTTTCTACCTTCTATCTTAATAAGTGGTACTACATCCACCATATTGGCCAAGCCAGTATCCTAGGCATCATCCCTACCTTCTCCCATTTCCAAACTGATCCCTTCATCCTCCCAATCCAATTAAAATTAACCACCAATATTTGCCACTTGTAACCATTATCTTTTTAGATTATTGTACTGTTTTCCTAGCCAGTTTTCCTGCCTCTAGTCTTGCCTCCCACTTTCCCTATGTTCTCCACATAGTAACCATAATGATCTTTGTAAAGCATATTTTTGATCGTGTCATTTAACTTAAAGAGTCTGTCATAGTTCCCCAGTGCTCTCAGGAGAGAGTAGAATCTTCTTGACATAATTTGGCTCCTGGGTTTATGTTTTCAGCCATCCTGAACTGCTTAAAGTATTCCATATTATTTCTTAACCCCTAGGTTATCACATGTGCTGTTTTCTTTGTCGGAGATTAACTGCTGCATACACTGTCCTTTCCAGAAAATAATAGTTTGAGCACACATATTTTTCCTTGTTATCTCTTGTGGTCCTTTAGGTCTGGATTTATAGGTCATTTGTCTGACAAGTCCTCCCTGACTTCTCAGGATGGGGTCAGGCAGTCTCCCTTGGTGCTCCTGAAGCACCCTGTGCTTACTTATCTCTCTCTTTGCAATGTGTCCTTTAAGTCCCTAAGTACAGGGACTTTGTCCATTTCATGTTACATCCCCAGCACATTTGGTGCCTCCACAAGAAAGATTTGGTAACTAGTTACTGAATGAAGTAGGCACTCTGTAAGTTTTTGAATGTGTTTATTTTCCTGCCTTCAAAATAGGAATTCTAGCGCCTGTGTCAATGTTTTGTTTGTAAACGGCTAATAATTGAAAGTATTTAATAAACTGTATTGCTCTGCAAAGAACAGTTACGTATGCTGCCAAGTGTTTGGTGGAGCCCTGGTGGTACAGTGGTTAAGAGCTCGGCTGCTAACCAAACGGTCGGCAGTTCAAATCCACCAACCACTGCTTAGAAACCCTATGAGGCAGTGCTGTTATGTCCTGTAGGGTCGCTATGAGTTGGAGTTGAGTTGGTGGCAACGGGTTTTGAGTGTTTAGTGTTGCCCAAAGAAGTAAGGAGAGTGCAGTCACCTTGGAGAAAGGTGTGTTTCCAAAGAACTCTTGAAGGGATGTTACCACCCAGAACAGAGAATTGGAAAGGATGCATCTGTGAAAAGAAATTTATAACCAATTTGGAGGCAATGCTTAGAATTTTAGTCCCTGAGATTCATCTTTTAGTCTCTTCTTCCACCTTGGAAGAAGCTTCTGAAGTCACTTCAGGCTTCAGCCAGAAGTAATAGGGGCAAGGGACAGGGTGCTAGCCTCTGAGATCTCAGAATAAAAGAAAAGGCCTTTAGACGTATACTTTGGAGCAGTAGTGAAATCTCAGCTTGGGACTTGAGAGAATAAACCATCTTGCCCATCAAGAGCTGCTGGTTCCTAGGGAGGCACCAAGATCGTTCTTGGTGGTTTTCAGTTTAGAGGCTTATGCCCTCTCCGTTCATTTTCCAGCTAACATACAAACAGGTTAGATAATAAAGCTGAATAAATGAGAGATAGAAATGACTTGAGGACTGAAAGGGAAAGTTTGTTAGCCAATCCAGTCTTGAAGGTTAACTACTCTCCCATGGCAGCTCCTCAGGGATATTACTTGAGAGTGACCTCTCAGTAAGGAGTCTCTGAGTGGTGCAAACAGTTAAGTGCTCAACTACTAGCCAAAAGGTTGGCAGTTTGAACCCACCCAGGAGACATCTGGGAAGACAGGCCTGGCATTCTGCTTCCAAAAGGTCACAGCCTTGAAAATGCTATGGAGCAGTTCTGCTCTGCACATATGGTGTCACAGTGAGTTGTAATTAACTCGATAGCAACTAACAACAAAAACAACCTCTAAGTAGAAGACTTCTCTTAAAACGAGTGGAAACGTTGACAATGCCCTCACAGTGGTCGTTTGCCAGAACTAGAAGCAGCGGCATCTATGTTGGCATCTGAGTGGGTTTACCCATAGAAATTTGAGGGAATATTCCTCTGAGGACGACCATTTGGAAGATGCTGAAGAAGGGAGAAAAGTGTCTTTCACGGGAGCCACTTTGAAAGGGTTTCCATTGGCCTAATCTGGGACAATTTGAGCATCAAAATAACAGATTTTAGCCCATAGATTAAAATAGGAATCCATGAGTCCATACTGAAGTGAATAAATAATTAGAGCGAAGCGGAAGGTTTTCCTTACAGCAGAATGCCAATTAGTGAGTGTAAAAGGAATGGTGAAATTAGAAAATAACCATTTGGCAACAACCATAGTAATTGTTTCAGGCAACAACTGTCCGTGGAAGCCAGTATGAGCAGGCAGAAGTAGGAGAAACAGAATACTCGCATAGCTCTCCCCACAGATGCTGTTATGAAGGGGAAAATACTAACAGTGGAGAAATCTGACAGACACCACCTAAGTCATGTGATTAAAACTGACATCACTAGTAATGGGGGAAATAAACAGTATGTCTCCTGAGATGATACACTAAGAAGGACACATCACTTGTGTGGTATTCCTACCAAAAATATATTACTTGAATCTACTAAGGAAGAAACTTCAGACAAACCCAAATGAGGGACAGTCTACAACATAAGTGTTCTGTACCCTTCAGAGATGTCAAGGTCATGAAAGATTGAGTAACTGCTCCAGATTAAAGGAGACTCAAGAGAAATGACAATGAAATGCAATGTTTGATCCTGCACTAGGATTCTTTTTTTTGCTGCAAAGGACATTAACAAAACAATTGGCAAGTTTGAATAAAGTCTGGAAATTAGTGTATTGGTTATCTATTGCTGTATAACAAAAATTATCCCACAATTGTTGGTTTAAAACAACAAGCATTTATCTCCTTGCAGTTTGTGGGTCAGAAATCTAGGTGTGTCTTACATTGGTGCCTGCAGCTCAAGATCTTTCAGGAGGTTGCGGTGAAGTTGTCACCTGTGGCTGCAGTCTCATCTGCAGGATTCAGGATTCAGGCAGGATTCAGTTCCTTGGGGGCTGTTGAATAAGGGCCAACTGTTAACTGAGGCCTCCCTCACTTTCTTACTACTTGTGCCTTTCTGTAGGGCAGCTTGCAACATGGCAGCTGGCTTCCTTCAGAGCAAGCAAGAGCATGAGCAATATGGGAGCCCCAGCCTCTTTGTAACCTAATCTCAGAAGTGACATCCCATCAGTTTTGCCATATTCTGTTCATTATCAGCGAGTCACTAAATCCAGTCCACACCCAAGACCATGAATACCAGGAGGCGGGGATCAGGGGCCATCT